AACGCGCAGCTCCAACTCAACTGCCTACAACCATCATGTGACTAACTTTGTCAAAATCCCCAAATACCAAAAATACCCTCAAAGCCAAACGTGGTTAATCATGGTCAAAGTCAAAGTCAACGGTCAAGGTCAACAGTCCATGTTGACCCAACTCGTCGAGTGCATCTAGAAACTCGTCGAGTTCCTTCAGTGTTCAGAAATCTGGGAAAAGCCCTAGCTATCTCGCCGAGTTATCTCATCAAATCGCCGAGTTCGCTCAGTATCCAGAAAGCGGGAAAACCCGATCCAACTCGTCGAGTTGCTAGGGCAACTCATCGAGTTTTCCGTGTCTTAATGTATTCAGCCCTTCCAATTGAATCTAAAGCCCCAAACTACAGATCCAGTCCCTTAGGACTGAAATACCACGTAAAGTTGCTAACTTAATGTGCATGTAAGGCCTCGAGAGGCTAAAACACTTCAACTAAGCTTAATAGAAGGTTTAGGGCATGGAGGAAGGCCAAGACTAGATAAAGTGGACAACTTTATGTCCATGGAGGCCTAGAGGTGTCCAGATCTGAAACCATATCCTCATAACAAGTTCAAATCCGAGAATGACACCATTATGCACCAAAAAGTGACCAAATACTTTCATAAGATAAGATCTAAGCAAATAAAGATAAAGGTAGCAACTTTATACCTCAGTATGGTTGCCAAAACAGAGTAGATGTCGGATCTACTGCTTCTCTCTTTACTCCAATCTCTTCAAGCTCCAAGTTCCTTCACAACCACACCAAAATCACTCTCAAAGGCTCTCACATACACTCAAGAAGGTATAAGGCTCAGACTAGGGTTTCTCTGGGCTGTAAAGACGATAAGGGAGGCCAAAAATGAGCCATAAGTTCTTTATATAGGGTACAAAACCCGGAAAATTAGGGTTTTCCTTTCCAGCATCCACTCGTCGAGTTGGGGCCTTCCAACTCGTCGAGTAGACCCTTAATCCTGCATCCAAAATGATCTCTACTCGAAGAGTTAGAGTTCCCCAACTCGTCGAGTCCCCGTCCAAAACCCTAAAATTTTGAGAAATAAATGATACTTGAAACAAGCGTTACAGTACAAGCTAAGTATATGAATCGTGTCGAACAACTATAGTTGAATATAAATATAAGGTCTCATTTGATAGTTGTTGTCTGGGAAAGTGCTGTATGGGAAAGTTTTCAGGGAAAGAAACCATGTTGTTTGATTATACATATGACTGACTGTGTTGAATGATGAATGTAACGTCCCAAAAATATCAAGAAAAATTTTCATTTTTGATAAGTCAAAACCATTCATTCATTATTCAAAAAGATAATCAGAGTAAAAGTATTCTCAAAACAGCAGAGTAAAATCATAAACAATCCTTGCAGAATAATCTCTAAAGGATGCAATGCGATCAAGTCGGGTCCTTCCTTTTGAAACTAGAAGTACCTGAAAACATTTTAAACATAAACTGTAACAACAAATCTTAGTGAGTTCAGCCAAATACCACATACCGAACATATAAGTGCTATGGGCTACCCCCATGGCCTTTGGTTGTAATTTCGAGGGCCAAATCACAGTCTTACAAAAAAGTGCTATCGGCTACTCCCATGGTCTTTCCTTGCAATGCCGAGGGCCAAATCCCCTTCTTACATACAAGTGTCATGGGCTACCCCCATGGTGTTTCCTTGCAATGCCGAGGGCCAAAGTATGGTCTTACATACAAGTGTAATGGGCTACCCCCATGGTCTTCCATGTAAGTATCACAAAGACAACTAGCATCCTACACAATATAGTGAGAAGACTCATCTGAACTACTCGACAAAACTCAACAACTACCTCATCATCAGAACAGCCAATGCAAACTTCCTAAAATCGAATAGAGCCCAATCCTTAGTCCAATACTCAAATCTACCCAAGTTTGACCAAAAGTCAAACTAGTCAAAACGTCAATGGTCAACTTTGTTAGTCAACGTCACATCGTGATCATCGCTTTGTCATATCGTGAGAATGAAACGACAAAACAATCGCGGTTCTGGGCATCGTCACGTCTTGACATATTCTATATCATGTCGTGACTTCTGGCCAGAAGGCCAAAATTTTCATGAAGAGCTTAATCTCTTCAGACCAAGGCCCACTACCTGAGATCTAGCTCCTAAATAGCTTCATAATGGATAAAGTTTCCAACTTTATCCATTATGATGGTCCAAACAATCAAGATCTAGTCTTTAAGTCTCAATGGGATCAAGAATGCATCTTTCTCAGCTAAATCCATTAAGTCCAAGTCTCCAACCTTCAGATCTGAATCAATATGATGTTTAGATGGATAAAGTTTCCAACTTTATCCATAATAATGTCTCAAGCTTTCAATATCTAAACTTTAATACACCAAAATGGCCTAAATAACCAAAATAACTTATATGGCTAAAAGGGAAGGCAAAAGATCAAAACTTTCCTAGTGCATGAGGTCCAAGAAAACATTCTAAACTGATCAAAAAGGTGTTGGAGTCCAGATCTGAGACATACAATGTTCTTGATCTGAGACATACAATGTTCTTGGGACCTTGGAGAGTAATAAAGTTGCAAAATTTATTCCCAACTCTCACTCAAAACTCATTAAAATAGACCAAAACACCAAATACACTTAGATCCATATATGAAATGCAATAAAGCTTGGAACTTTATAACTTACAAAGGTCTAAAAGGTAGATGAAAATTGAGATCTTCAATTCCCAAGCTCCAAGGATCATTCTTGCATGGAAACATTGCTCCAAAACCACTACGAACTCCAAAAATGGATAAGAGAGGAGAGGGGAGACTTAAATCTTGAAAATGGAGGCTAGGGTTTCCCCAAGAGGTTCTAGATATGATGGAGACTAAGAAAATACCCTGAATCCTTACCTTTAAATACCTTGAAAACATTAAATATTCTGTGGGCTTTGGGCTGCACAGTTCTCATGTTGTGAGAATATATTCTCACCTCATGAGCACTCTCACATCGTGAGCATTACTTCTCACCTCATGAGAAGGGGTTTTCACCCAATTTCACTCGAACTTCAAACAGTCATAACTTCTTCGTTTCAACTCCGCTTTTTTGCGATCTTTATATCCACGAAAAGCTATTGACGAGACCCATACATCTATCTAGTTAATTTTGGCTTAACACATGTTGAACTAAAAACCATAATTCATGAAAGAAGTTTAAAACATCACTTTCCCATTTTACCCTTTGACTCCAAGACACAAACCAATGCTTTAATCACTTATCCAACATTGTCATCGTCCAATAAGGTCTAAACCTCATTCCCTTGAAGTCCAAGTCCTTTACTTAATCCATTTATTGTCCACAATCCCGAAAATAAGAAACTTCTTGAAACATGATGTTACAATGAAAAATGATCATATTACCTTGATGTTTTATACTGTGATAGATGAAGTTGTTGAATAATAATAAAAACATATAAATTGTCATACAAAATAAAATTACACAATAAAAAAATCAGTATGTATCGTCCTTTTTATGCAAATAAAGATTACTGATAAAAAAAAAGTTATACAACTAAAATAAAACATAAAAAAGTTCTACAAGTAAAATACAACATAAAGAAAGGAAAAAAAGCGGTGAAAAGTGTCTTTTTTTTGTTAGGGAACAATTGTCCAAAGTTTAAGTTTAATTCAGCCAGAAAGATATCGTTTTAAGCTTTCTAAAAAAACATATATTATTGAGAAAGACATATTTTTTTATGCATATCAAACAGTCTTTTCGGCCCATTCAACAGGAAAGATTTGTTTAGACCTAGAAATATGTCTATCTAACGGAACCTAAGTGTTATTTAATAATCATAACCGAGTGTAGTCGTTGTATTTTTTTCATAACTAAGAGGCGAGACTATGTATAGTTAAGTATTTATAACTGAAAATAAATGGCGTAGGTATCTATAGCTGAAAGTTGAAATTGTGTTATTGTTGTTTATAGTTAACATTTGTGGTGAATCATATAACGAAAATCTTGTGATGATCTAATAGTAACTTGATTAGTTGGAAATCGATTAATGTATATGTTCAGAGTTAAATTAGTAAGTTAGTATTTATATATCTGTTACCGGTGAATCTAACTTGGTAATTCATAATATGAACTATACTGAATTATCTAAAAGGCATCGTGTGATTCACTTATGTGCTGATGATGAGAATGTATATATAATTCATATTATGTCTTATTATGCAAGTTGCTCACTAAGCTCTTATAGCTTACCTTTTGTTGTTGAAAGAGGTTCATATAGATACATCAAAGAAGTAAAAAGTGATAGTTGTAATGCCAATGTGATTCAAATCATCGTGTCATCTATTGTTTGTAAATGATTCTTTTGATACCTACTTGTATCTAGTTAGTTAACATTATTGTGAGGTTCTTTTAAAAATTTAAAATTTTTTTTTTTAGGTATACTCGAAGTTAAAATCGGATGTTACATTAAGCGACCTTAAATACTTAAATATCAAACAGCGAAGTATGATATCCACACTTATTATATTTAAGTTATAATTAACGATGAAAGAGCAATAATAATAAAAAAAATCTTTTATTATAATAGCAAAAGTGTAAATGTGTGAGAAGTACAAGTTTTATGAAATTATTAAAGAGCGGAAACTCTTGTGTATTTAAGTCGAAGAAAACACTCATGTGTAAGTATATAAGCAAGGGTTGATATATGCATGCTAATTCTATGGTTTTTGTTGTCAAGAGGAAATTTGAGTCTTCAGTTTCGGTGGCCCAAGAAAAGATATCATATTAAAGAAAAAATATCTTATTAAAGAAAAAATATCGCTGGCTTTAGAGTGGACGTGGATACGCATTATTGGTTGATAGATGATAAGAAACATGTGCTCCAAAATCGAAATCATGAGGTACTCCGATTATATATCTTTAATTCCATACCCTTACTTATCATAATAACCAATCCTTTGGTAGTTTGCATCAAAGAAACCCATAAACAATGGCAACAATGGCTGGTGTTAGTCTTTCAATCCCTCGTGTTTTAGCCAGCCCATCATCAGACTCACCCAAGGTCTCCTCATGGGTGAAGATGCCTACAACTACAAGGATGATGAGCTCAGGAAGGATGTATTTGATGCCGGTGAGGGCGGCACCTGAAAGTTTGTCGGAAAAGATAGCCTCCAGCATCGAGAACGCCAAGGAGTCATGTGCAGATGACCCTGTCAGCGGTGAGTGTGTGGCGGCGTGGGATGAAGTGGAAGAGCTGAGTGCCGCTTCTAGCCATGCCAGAGACAAGGCGAAAGACGCCGACCCCTTGGAGACTTACTGCAAGGACAACCCAGAGACCGATGAGTGCCGTACGTACGACGATTAAGATCAACATTCAGATTGATCATCTTAATACCTTCGTTCCTCGAAAGTACTACTTTTATTTTATTTTATTTTATTTTATGGAGGTCGTTTAATTAGGATATCGAATCATGACCCTTCATCTATCTAGACTTGTTATATATGTATGATGAAAACATGTTATAATATTTGGATCGATCATATATACCAGACACATATTCACTTCAATCTTCATATCTTTTACAGGGTGTTTCAATCTTCACATCTTCACTTCACATCTTCACATATTCACTTTAATCTTCACATATTTTTAATATCTTTTTACAGGGTGTTTCAACCTTCACATCTTCACTTCACATCTTCACATATTCACTTTAATCTTCGCATATTTTTAAAATTACTTATTAACTTATTGGTTTTTTCAAAAAAACCAATAAATTGAAAATTGTTTGATTAAACTTGTTTGATTTCATCAAACACCTTTGACTTCTTGGCATAGATAAAATAAGGAGCTTTTAAAAATGACTTATTCCTAGTTTTTTCAAAAAACCAATAGAGTTTTTTTTTTTCAAAAAACCAATAGACTTTTCTCAATAATAAAAAAAAAAGCACAAACTATTTTTTCTCGAATTGAGGCGAGTGGGGTTTTTAGCATTTTAGGTTGTTGAGGGTGCCATACAATAGACAAAACTATAAGAATGGATAATACAATAGACAAAAATGGATAATATTTATAATATGGATTAATAAAAGTCACAAATTCAGTCTCTGTTAATTTTTTTATACGAATGATCCATGTGGTTTCTAAACTTGCATGAATGGTCCCTATGGTTTATAAAACTTGTAGCGATTTTCTTTGAGCTCTATAAAATGACTATTTTGTCCTTTCTTATTTTTTTTATCTTTTTTTTAAGATAAAACTACAAGATTAGTCCTTGTGGTATTCAAAAAACTTTGGATAGGGTCCAAAAAGTTTCTCATTTGCATCGAAGATCCAAAATCAAGGTTTTTCTGTGTTTTTTTGGTCCAAAAAAACTTGAAATGACGGTTACACCCTTTTAGTTTCTTTTTTTTATATATATATTTTAATTTTTCAAATTAATATTTTAGTTTAAAAATAAAATAAAAAAAGAAAATAATTATATCCTAACCCCAGCTCTCTCTCTCTCTTTCTCTCTAAATTGCAAAAAAAAACCTTTGATTGCTGCCCTCCGCCCTCCTTCATCGATAATCACCACCGCTGTTCACCCACACTGATCTAGGCGATAAGGGTCTTTGATTCTAAACTTGCAGTCGCAATTTCATAGACATTTTGATCTTCTTTTTCTTCATTCTTTGACTGTAACCCCCATCCTTGTCGATTACAAGTTCAGTTTCTACCAGTTCGACAGTTGATTCTTGTTTATTTTCATCTGACGCCTTCAAAAGAAACAAATTTGTACAGCACACAGACCCATCGATTCACCTAACAATGTCCAAAAGGAACAAATCGCTCATAACATTAAAGAACAACAGATATGTTCAAATTCAAATTGTAACAACGTAAATTTTCAAAACAAATTTTCATTTTTAAATCATACTTTCAATCACACGATAATCACAAAACATAATGTATCCACTGTGTCATAATAAAACATGTCTCAGAATCTCAATAACATAAACTCCATAAGTGTGTACGGATCATGCCGACGCCTTCCCGCAATCCTCGCTAGTACCTGAAACACATAACATAACAACTGTAAGCATAAATGCTTAGTGAGTTCCCCAAGATACCACATACAACACATACGCCTTTCTAGGCCATAACTCTGTAGGATCTTCCGATCCATGTGTCTCAGGGGACTTCCGTCCCGAATCCCGGTAGACCTTCCGGTCCTACCCGTATCGACCTTCCGGTCCGTAACCCCTTGACCTTCCAGTCCATGTCATCTTGACCTTCCGGTCCATATCATCTTGACGTTCCGGTCCATACCATACATAACATACATAGCACATACATATCACATAACCGCATATAGCACATACATCTCACAACATACAAGACCTTCCGGTCACACATAGGTACCCTTCCAGGTACAGTATAGTGAGAAGACTCACCTCAATGAAGTCGGATAAACTCTCGTGCTCAACGTCCCGACTTAGCCTCCTCCTATTATTCAAATAACATCTCCGATCAATATTCTCTCATAGTCTCATCTCTAAAGAATGGGTAGAAGGCCATTCTACACCTCTCTGAACTCTTTTGAATCAGTCTTGACCAGAACCCTAAAGTCAACGAAAGTCAACGGTCAAACTTTGACCCGACTCGTCGAGTGCACAAGGGCGACTCAGCGAGTCCATGCGGGTTCTCTGAATCCTTCTAGCCTCTCTTGGCTCGTCGAGTCATCGTCCCACTCGACGGGTTACACCTGTCACGAATCGTGGGGCAACCCCGACTCGACTCGTCGAGTCCCATTATGGACTCGGCGAGTTGTATCCATGGCAACACTGAAATGACCTTCTGAGGTCAGATCTACTTCTCTAACCTATAGATCTGGCCTTCCCAACCACTATAATCACGTAAAGGTCTGACCTTTACAATCATGCAATGTCCAATAAGCTCCTTTGGGTGAAATAACCTCTAGAATGGCAACCTAAGGTCATATCTCTAATGGAGTAGCAAAAAGCAAGGTAGATAGGACTCTCTACACCTCTTAAGGTCCAGATCTAAGAAGAACTCCACCTTGGGACCTCACATACTTCGAATCCAAGCCAAAGAAGGCATAAGAAAACCCTAGATTCAAGTAGATCACCAAATACACGAGATTGAGCACAGATTAGTACAACTAAGCCTCTTCTGATCAAATGGGTGATAGATCTGAGCTCCTCAATCTTCCTTGTTTGTCCTCCTTCCTTCTTTCTTGCAAAATCACACTTAGAAAGATGAATTAGCCCTCCTCTTGCACTACAAGCTTTCTCTCTACTCTCTAGGGTTTCTCAGGGGTGCATTGGCCGCAAATGGAGGCTATAAAGGCCTTTAAAAAGGGCACAGACCCCGAGAATTAGGGTTTCACTTTACAGCGCGGACTCGCCGAGTCCACGCATCGACTCGTCGAGTCCTTCATTAAATCGGACAAGAAATACGCGCTCCTACTCGGCGAGTCTGAGCGCCTACTCGCCGAGTCCCTTCCTAAAACTCAAGATAAATACTTAAAATAAGATACCTGGGAATCCGGATGTTACAATTCTACCCCACTAGAATCAGACTTCGCCCTCGAAGTCTTGCTCGGCAAACAACTCTGGATGCTGCTCCCGCATCTCCAGCTCCGGCTCCCAAATCAGCTCGGACCCTTTCCGATGTTGCCACTGGACCTGCACCAGGGACACTTCCTTGTTCCTCAGAACCTTGATCTTCCGATCCCGGATGGCGATTGGCCTCTCAGCATAATTCAGGCTCGCATTTACCTGAATATTCTCCAGTGGTACCGCTGTCGACTCGTCGGCTATACACTTCCTCAACTGAGACACGTGGAAGGTGTCATGAATCTGGCTCAACTCCGCAGGTAGCTCCAACCGATATGCTACCCTGCCCACCCTCGCGGTCACCCTGAACGGACCGATGTATCGGGGCCCCAGCTTGCCCCTCTTCCTGAATCGGATCACTCCTTTCCAAGGAGACACTTTCAGGAGTACGAAGTCTCCCACCTGGAACTCAAGCTCGGATCGTCGCCTATCCACATAACTCTTCTGACGACGCTCAGCCGTCAATAACCTCTGTCTAACTTGTTGTATCTGCTCTGTCGTCTGAAGCACTATCTCAGTGCTACCCATCACACGCTGCCCTACCTCTCCCCAGCAAATGGGAGTCCGACACCTCATCCCATACAAGAACTCGACGAGAGGCATACCAATACTCGAATGGTGGCTGTTGTTATAAGAAAACTCAGCCAACGACAGATATGTGTCCCAACTTCCCCCGAAGTCCAATACACATGCTCGGAGCATGTCCTCGAGCGTCTGAATCGTCCGCTAACTCTGCCTGTCCGTCTGTGGGTGGTATGCGGTACTGAAATGCAGCCTCGTACCTAACTCCTCATGGAACTTCTTCCAGAATCTGGAAGTGAAACGTACATCTCGATCTGACACCATCGAGATCGGTACTCCATGACGCGATACCACCTCTCTCACGTACAACTCTGCCAATCTCTCTGCAGAAGAGTTCTCACTGATAGCAAGGAAGTGAGCGCTCTTCGTCAGCCGGTCGACAATCACCCAAATCGCATCGACACCCCTCGCGGTCCTTGGCAATTTGGTGATAAAATCCATGGAAATCTGTTCCCACTTCTACTGGGGAACCTCAAGTGGCTGCAACTTGCCATGCGGACGCTGGTGCTCAGCCTTAACCCTGCGACAGGTCAAGCACCTCTCAACAATCCATGCAACATCCCTCTTCATACAGGGCCACCAATAGTCTTTCTTCAAATCCAAATACATTTTGTGGCTCCGGGATGGATCGAGAACCTCGATCTATGCGCCTCCTCCATCAGAATGGTACGTGCCCCGCCTGCATACGTCACCCAAATCCGACCTTGAAAGGTCATTAGCCCTCGGCTATCGGTAACGAACTCAGATACCTGCCCAATCACCCGCTCTCTCTTACGGTTCTCTGGTATCACGGCCTCTGTCTGGGCCTCCCGAATGGTGTCCAACACCGGAGTCATCACTGTCAATCTCAAGCAAACATCTCGTATCAGGGCACTCTCCGCCCTACGGCTCAGGGCATCAGCTACAACATTAGCTTTGCCCGGGTGTTACAGGATCTCACAATCGTAATCCTTTACCACGTCCAACCATCTCCTCTGGCGCATATTCAGATTAGGCTGATCCATCAAATACTTCAAGCTCTTGTGGTCCGTGTATCTGGTACACCGAACCCCATATAAATAGTGACGCCATAACTTGAGGGCGAACACCACTGCCCCCAATTCCAAATCGTGGGTGGGATACCTCGTCTCATGAGGCTTCAGCTGCCTCGATGCATACGCT